GTTGGAGAACTGCCAGTTCTTTCACATGCATCTTCAATTACTGTATGAACCGAGTGCCCTTGACTAGTTCATCATTATTTTCTGGGTATCCCTAGATGACCGCCACTCCATCAACCATTTTACAACAGGTAAAGGCGAAGACAATATTCGTGATTGCTGACCGCCTCATTTCAAGTCTATTGGTATAAGAGTAAACATAGTTACATGAATATTATTCCCTCAGAGGGGCTTGGTCGTGCTAACTTAAGAGGAGGTGACAGGGGGAAGAGGAGTGAAGGGGACGTCGGGGTACTGTCCAACCTCGAGCTCGATACCACCCTGGATGAGATCGAACAGACGCGCTCCCTTCTCGTTGTAGCCGGGGACGTACTCCTGGCCGAAGACGTCGAGGAAGGTGTTGTAGGTGGTGGCGGGGTCCTTGACGGCGAAGCGGGTGAAAGTGTCGTTGGTGCCACGGAAGAGGGTGCTGTTGGTGAAGTTGCCCTGGACGGAGTCGTAGAACTCGGTGGGGATCAAAGGAGATCGCGGCTGAGGAAACTCGAAGCCAATGGACTTGACGATCCACTGGGTGTCGATGTTCTTGAAGTCGGAGACACCGATGATGGTCTGCAGAGAGATACCATCGTAGAGACGCTCGAGACGCTGGGCATCCCACTCGTCGGCGTCAGGGTGGTTCTTGACGAAGTTCACAGCGGAGACACCGCTGTCGATCTCGAAGCGGTACTTGTGGCTGTTGTAGGGAGTGTTGTCACGCTCTGCGAATTACTGTTAGAAACATGTACTTGAAGAGTTAGACATGAAATACTTACGGTCCCAGCCAAGATCGTGTAGGAGAGATCCAACGGCGTGGAGCTCGAGGTCGATCTCAGCCTTGAGGGTGGCGTTGTTGTTGAACGCAGCGGCACCGAGGAGCCAGGTTCGGACAACGTGGTTGTACAGGTAAGGCTGGAGAGGAATGAACGCCTTGACCAGCTTGTGGGCATCCCGGACAATCTGGGTGTCAACAACCTCGACACCGGCGATCTTGGTGGTAGGGAGCTCTCCTCGAGAGCACTTCTTCGAGGGGGCGGCGATGGCGGCACCGGCCACAGCCAGGGCAGAAACGACTCCAGTGGCGAACTTCATCTTGAACGATTACAACTACGAACGATGAGTTGATAGAAGCGAATATAAAGGAATGAATGTAGTAGGAGGGGTGGTAGAGCAGAAGAGTAGTTTATTCACGAGGCGCTGGAAAGCCTTATATACATGTATACTATTCAGTCGCCTTGCACTCAGCTCATCTCTTACCTCTTTACACTACTGTATACTGTCTACGGGGAAAGCCATTAGTGCAGGGTTATGATGCGCATTTCAACCAAAATAGAAGCTCTAGCGCCCCTTGTGGATGAGGCTGTCTGGTTCCTGCTTTTACACTGCCCGTGGAATATGGAGGTGCCGAACAGAATATTAGTGTATCTTGGCTCATGTCTTGGCGAATGCACGCTGACTACACCAGGCCGCATTGGCAAGCAGTGATCAGAATTGGACAGTCCTTTGCAGTAGTGAAGGAATTCTTAGACCTAGTTTAGAGCTGAAACACCTGCCATCTGCGTACGTAGGTGTAGAGGATATGAGACTGAATAAGCCAGTTTGAGCTCAGTTTCCTCGACAGTCAGTAACTTCACAGTTACTCACGATGGACAAGACCCTTCAGCATTTGCACCAGTGTACATACTCCTTACCATGGCGTGGTCAGACGATGGCGCCTTTGGATCCTGAGCTCTAAATTTCTGTTAGTATGGGGTGTTATACCCCAATCATGCCCGGGGCCCTTAAGTAAGTTACATACTACCGAGGGATGACATAAGACTGCAGGATCCCAGAACAAGGTACGGCTTAGCACAATATGCAAAACACTCAAAGGCTTTGTGCTCTAGTATCGTTTCAGTAGGCTCCATATAGAACACAAGTAGTTACCAGACACTCAACTAGTGTAAATCTACAGTGAGGTCGAGATTTGTCAACAGCAGTGAGTACAGTAGAGCGACTGAAGGAAGGTACATGAGAAAGAGCAACTTAACTAATGCTTAAATGTCGACGCAATAAACAATTAGGTATACGCTAAGATGTTTAGTTACCAACTTAAATAGCGCTACAATGTAACTAAGAGTGAGTAAGTTAGCGCAGCCCATTTTCTGAAGGATTTAATGGCAGTTCTAATGCATAACCTCCATTTTAAAAGGAGCAAGAAGATGATCACCTCATCCAAAAGCGCAGAGTGTAGTGGAGCTTAGAACTTGGAAATGCCGGCCGGCTCTTGGCTACCCAGAGAGGTAAGACTTGGAATTTATTAGTATGTAGATACTACCTGGGTGCACTCAGACACACAACTATTCAAGCAGCACTGGTGCTTACAATGTTATACTGTAGAATTGCCCACCAATCAGACACCCTTACCATTTATATTAGAGGTTGGTTGCGTTTCCAATATTAGTTACCTTGGGTGAGAACTAGCCAATAGAACAGTTTGACTCTTCATGCTCGGCAAGCTCCTGTGACTTACTTAGCAGTGTTCCCAATCGCAAGGATATGTCCCCAGGCTCTATCCATCACATGGTGGCAAGTAATCTTAAGTACGGATTGTGCGGAGGTAATCCAGAAATTACCCAAGCGAAGCGATGGAACGATTGTGGTCAGCTAGTGCACACTAGGTACACTACCGGACTTCACGACGACCGCTCGGGGGTTATGGTGTTGTCTTGGTATGCTTCGCCTCACTCAAAAGGGAACGTCCGTCTCTGATTTTTAGTCATCCTTAGTCGAATTGGCGTTTGGTAGTGTAGTGTCATGCTGGCTAGCGGGTATCGAGTGTTGTTCATCCCGTTCGATATCCTGATGAGGAATGCTGCTAGGCTTTCTGGGCACTTCTTCGAGTTCCTGGCCAAGACAACGAGAGCTGACATGGACAGTCAGCAACACGCCAATGAGCTCAAAATTTCGCAACTTAGCTCTCGTTTCATTTGATCGTGTTTGATATTTCGCATCGCGTCGAATGAGTACCAAATCACATCAGTCCGAACTTCCTTGTTTTTGCATCTTGTTGTATTTGTCCACTTCTTGCCGTCATCATTGAAAGTCGTCAGACATTAACAAGCTCACATAGTAGCGCTTTGTCGCTTCCCAAGTTGTTCGTTGCGTCGTCATCTCCATCAATAACTGGAACAACTTCTGTTGGTTAATAGGTCCAAGGACATGGGGCAGCGGTAATGTGCCATTTGCTACTCAAGTAGAGCTTGATTGTTTCGCCAATATCTGGTATATTGGCTTCAGTAACCATCTGTCATACGCATGACCCTTCGATATGCGTATCCTCTTCGTGGTATTATGCGTCATCAGCTAAAGCTCTGTCTTTCTCGCTTCAGTAAGCCCGATTCCTATCCCGATCAGGATACGGATGGCCGGCCAACCACTGCTTTTGATTTTTCTGTTCGTTAGACACTCCCATACTACCGGGGCTAGGTCACGACCTGGAGTGATGATGCCTTCTCTCTCCTCTCTTGGGACTTGGCTTCGACGACTCGGTTCTCATGACAAAACACCCGTGTAGCTATCGCAATGAAGTTGGTCATTAGTCTGAGGAAACAACTTTTATCAATAAGTATTCACAAAACTTAGGCTTCTTGGGTACTGTTGGTTGTCAAGAAAGCTGCTGTAATACTAGTCGCTCAGCCATCGTCGCCTTCGTCGTCGGCTCACAGTGGAGGCCGGTAAACCCCATCCCCATGCTCGTGGCACATATCGACTCCCCTACCCTGCGTATCAAGCCCGGAAGCAAGAAGAGCGGCATCGAGAATCAGGCATGCTCAAAAGTCCGGCTATAGGATGCCATACTTATTAGCCAGTGTCATATTCTCAATTGAATAGATGCAGGCTCTGATCTGGATAGACATGACTTCCGAAGCAGTCATTACTCGCTTCTATGCATTGTCGAACATATGTTAACCAGTTTGAGGTGCGGTAAACGTCTAAAGCGTAGAGCTCTCGTTCCACGAAATAACTTCCCTTCTGTGGGGTATAGTTATAGGCTCTTGGCCGGGGAAAAAAGAGTTGAGATGTTATTTCCATTGTCGTCGTTGCAGTAACGTGTTTTGTTCCCTTTGACATTCACCATGTTGACAGGCTGCGTAGGATGGTTGCGGAGACAGTTGTATCTGGCAAGCCCGTTCAAAATGCTTCCTGATCGACATTGACATCTCTTTAGATGGATTTTAAACAATATAATAAATAAGCCTTTGCCTAGTGATTCTGTCGTCCTGTTCGTCTACTGCTCGATTCGTCTCGTCTTGTTGTTGGCTAAATAGCTGTACGATCCATGACGACCATCGAATAGGATTCGGTGCATCTCGGTCTTCTGAGCTCGCACCGCGTAAACCAACAAACGTATGTAATGGTATGCTAAGGAAAGTTTAGTCTTATTATTGTAGCGGGAGAGAGCATTGATATAAAGAGCTCTTTACTATTAGATCGCCGGCTTACACTAAATAACACTTAGCAGACGGTAAGGTAGGCGTATACGGTGTTATTTTTAGAGTGGCTGATGTGCTTCTGCGGCGTAGACACCAGCCCTATATCAAATAGTGAGTGGCCATCCGGGTAGCCATCAAGGTTCGCTGGGCATGAACCAGTTAGATTGGACGTTAGGCAACAGTTAAGTTAGCTTCTTTATTGCACTCATCCATGACTAACTGTTAAAGAGCAAAAGCGAATACCAACAGAGCTGTTAGGAATGGAGCTTAACTTACTATGTACACTTGACTAGATAAAAGTAGGTCTGTAGTATATCTTGACACCTGAGTTGTTAAAGAAGCAATATATCAAAATAAACACTGATCAACAAGCTTAAGCAAGCAAGCTACTGGCAATTGGCCATTGTCGCACAGCCTACCATTGCCATCAAGCAATAGCAGAATCAATAAGAAGGACGATACAGAGCAAAAAGAATCAAAAGTGACTGTTGTTGGACGAACGGGGAATTGAACCCCGGACCCCTCCCAGACATCATGCTCCCAAGACGGAATCTTCGGATATGCGAAGGGAGTATCATACCCCTAGACCATTCGCCCGCTGACTCGCCTGATTGGCTTGTCATGTGACCAGATGCTTATTCTTGGTTCAATCTAACCTATTAAATCAGTCTACTGTATTGAAATATCCACAGTGTAAAGAAATTCTTTATACTGTATTCACTATCACCACGTTACCACTGCTAAACAACCTAATCAGGAGATTACAGCGCTCGACCCTCGGCATCAACAAGCCTTTACCTCCTCTGACTCATGAACACCTGCAGTCTGCTAGATGGTTTTGAAAACACCGTATTCTCACTATTTGTTGCACTCCTACCTTGTGCTAAGCTGTGACTGCCAATGCCACCTCAATGTCTCCTGATAGTGGCTCGCGGCTCACAGGTGTTTGGTGAGCCTCACCCTAACCCCTTGAAGTCTAACAATAAATACGTAGCACAGCATGAGCATAATAGAATCACTTGTGAAGCGATCCCGCTGACTCATTGATATAAGGTTCCTCGCTTCATTTGCCTGGCTGGCATATTCCTCGCAGAGACATAGCTTAATTAGTACTTGACTTGTTCACCCTCCATTGCTCTAGACCAGACCAGCTGACGCAGCGCTCAGATCAGCCACGCCTCTCATCCTTCCTTCTTCTCCTTATTTCTGGCTTGTTAGCTTTCGTCGGAAGCGTCTTTTCAAAATGGCTTCCGGGAACCCACGGCAGATTTGGTTAGTCTGTCCATTTCGGCCTGTCAGCGTGACGATCATGGCATTTAACCTTGTTGTAGATTCTGATGCCGTCTTAAAGGCATCGTCGTCTTCCTTACCTCCACGACCACGTCGATTCTATACGCCCTGTATCATTATCCTCATCATTCTTAGACTTGAGATTTCTTATAGAGCGTTGCACGATTTTCAATGTTCTACTGCAGGTATTGAGGTTAGACTACCTCTCCCCCCTTTTCACGAACCCAACAAGCCATAGATCTAATTATGTCTTGTAGGCATTTTTGCCATTAATATTAGCCGCTTACAGGTTCTTCTCACATCGTGCACCGCAGGCAGAATCAGATGAACCCGAGGATATGTGGGGAAACCCAGTAGAAGACTTCAAGAAATGGCTTGCGGGCTCACCTTTCATGCTGCTCCTTGGAAGTACCCTCCTTAGCTACGGTGCGTTCTTAGCCGGTAACTTCGCAATGCGGTCAACGTACTTCTGCTCCTCTCGAGCCGATTCGGGGTCGCTTGTAGTGTTTCTCCAATTCATTGGTCTATTCGTGGAAGCGACCATCATCATCCTGCTATCGAGAGTGCTCTCTTGGGCACGAACAACTAAGAGTCGGCTGCGGACCCTTGGTGGCATGCTATCGATCTCATCGTTCGCGACATGCATTCCTTCATTAGTGACACAATTTTCACGGCGTGACGAAATCATTGGGCAGCAGCCCCTTAGAGGTGTCAACTCTCTATCTATATTCGACACTTTGATCACCGGCATACTTGTTGCTATTCTCATCATATCTATATCCCTGACGATAAGCGATACATCCCCGCTTGAACCAATTACCATTGCCTCCTTTGCATATGGCCTGTTCGCCAGTGTTGGTAACGTGCTCCTCGTCGGCACGTACCAGCAAACATCGCAACCATTACTCGTATTGGGGACAACTTCCCTTGGATTTATCATTTTCATTTATGCGAACAACATGCGATCCATTATCTACATAAAACGCGCATTCCTCCTATTTTTTGTACTGAGTATTATGATTTCTTCAGTTGTTTATGTTTGCTTGGCAAAACAGAGGTTCACGCGTCATCCTGTTGACGACCTTGTCTACAAGAACCGGATAGAAGAAGACCGGTGGCTACGGCACGCCACGGTCAGCACTACCATGAAACTTGCCGTAAAAGAGTACGAAGAAAGACACCACGGACGGAAGCCTCCGCGAAATTTCGACAGGTGGTTTGAATTTGCTCGGCAGAGAAAGTCGGTTGTCATCGACATGTTTGATCAAATAGAGAAAGATATCTTGCCATTCTGGGGTCTGCGACCGCAACATATCCGAGATGGTCTCGATTTCCTCAAAGGACAGCCCGATGTTGGTATAGTCAGCATTGCTGATGGGAAGGTGTCTCATAATGGCCCGGCTGATCTTTCGCAACAACAACTACTTGAGGAAATCGTCACCCTGATCTCCAGCTTCGTGGAACATCTACCGACGATGGAAATTGCCATCAATTTGCAGGAACGACCGAGAGTTCTAGTTCCTTGGAATGACATACACCTTTCTACAGCAAAGAATATCAAAACCAACATAAGAGGCGGAGCAGCACATCTAGCTCGATCTCATGTTGCAGCCCATCGGTTTCGACAGCTTGGAGCCCTCGCTTGCCCTCCTGGATCACTGAGTCGCAGTGGTGGCGGTTGGGATGTCAGAGACTTCTGTGCCTCATGTACGTCGCCTCACAGCAAGGAGCAATTCTTGGAAGATTGGCAGTTGGCACTCGACCCTTGTCACCAACCGGACATCTTTCATCTTCACGAATTCCACACCACTCCCCACCAAATCGAGTTGTATCAGGATTTATTACCCCTATTTAGTGGGTCGAAAACCGCTAGTTTCAGCGATCTCCTGATTCCCTTGCATGATTCAAAACCAGACTACGACAGCAAGACCTTCAATCAGAAGCAAGATATTGTCCTTTGGCAAGGCGATGTAACTGATATCCCATCGGTCAACCATGAGATCCTGCACAGTAGCCATAGATTGCGTTTGATACATCTTGTCCAGAATGCCACGGCGGCGGATCACATCCCCATGCTATTAGGAATCGGAGCGGGTCAGAACAGCAGGTTCCGATATGAGTACGTACCCACCACGGAGGGAAACAGCATTTTACCTTTGCAGTTTTCTTTGGCCGGTCCGTCTGAGGGTTGTCAAGACGCGAATTGTGAGCGTATACGGGACGAGTTCGGATTGGAGCAGTCGAAGACTGAGGTGGATGCTCGTTACGTGATGTTGCTCGATACGAGCGACGGGCCAGCACCGAACTCCCTGCAGGTCTTGCGGTCCAACAGTGTCCCGGTGGTCTCATCCATATTCCAGCAATGGTTCACGGAGCGGCTGATGCCGTGGGTCCATTTCATCCCGATCGATACGCGATACCACGCTCTACATAGCACCCTGTCCTACTTCATTGGGCTGGATGGCCGTGGCACGCTCAACGGACGGAAACAGATCACGCCAGGGCGGACAGAGGACGCCAAATGGATCGCTCAGGCAGGTCGGAAGTGGGCCGAGAAGGCAATTAGGAAAGAAGACATGGAGGTATATCTATTTAGGTTGCTATTGGAATGGGGACGGGTCATTGACGATCATCGGGAGAGTATGAATTTCGTGCTGAATTAATAGGAGTAGTAGTATCCTTACGAGGTACCCTGCCTATCTGCCTGGGTACCTACCTCTCATGTAAGACCACATGTAATGATGCATTATCTGATTCGTCGCTTCCTGTTCACATTTAAAAACCACTATGGCTTAGTCAAATAGGGTTAACACATGGCAAATAGAGTTTTTCCGTATTTGCTTGGTCTTACTGTGGTTATGTAAGGCAACTGCGGCCTTTCCATTGTAGCGTTTGCACCTTACAAGACCCTAGAAGACCCCGAAATAGGCATAACTTATTGACTAAAACTCTCTTATCACGGTAAAGAGGCGTGACGTATGCTGGTGTAATCTGTAATCGGTACATCCTACCGGAGGGGTGGAGGCTACCTCATGACAGGAATGAGGCAGTGGTCTAGTCTTCCCCACCAATCTCAGCCAACCGACCAACTGACCAACCATCCAACCTAGGCCGCCATCATCTATCTACTACTTACCAACATCCCCGTCGGTCTCGCGAACCAAACAAATAGAACAGCTTCATTACTCAGTTCGCCCATGGACTAGCCAATCCCTTATGCCGTTTTTGACGAGGTTACGATAAAGATTACAGATACCTACCTCCTCACGAAGACACAAATACGGTTTAATGATTGCGCGGCGGGCGAATCGACATACAACTTAACGTAGCTCCCATACATCGCATACTCCATCCATAGCTAGCTTCGCCCGGGCGCAGGCAACAACGTGTGCAGCACGTCTCCGAACAGACCTCGCCCGCACAATGGCCGTCATCGACCAAGATAACTTCTCCACCATCTCGTGGCAGATCGACACCAACACCGGTGCCGACGCTGCCGAGTCGAGCGCTTCCCTGCCGAACATCGAGGCCGAGCCGCCCACCAGCGAAGACCAACAACGCGGCCAAGACCTGGAACGTCATGATCCGGGCCTGTCGGGCGACATCCTCGAGTGCACCGTCTCGGAACCGCACAAGGAGAGCGACGGGACCAAGGATGCCTTTGTGTCCTACCTGATAACCACCAATGTGAGTTTGGACTTGGATATGTGTTTGACGGCCGTCTCTTGTCGCGCTGATGGCTCCCTACATCAACCACCGACCCGACAACCCATTGACCGCTGCTGACCACTGATCGCTGACTTGCCATTGATCCAGTCGACATTCCCTTCCTTCCAGAAACCCACCTTCACCTCCCGCCGACGCTTCACAGACTTCGTATTCCTCTCCAAGACCCTGTCCAAAGAATACCCGGCATGCGCCGTCCCTCCGCTGCCCGACAAACAACGCATGGAGTATGTCCGAGGGGACCGCTTTGGTCCAGACTTCACGAACCGCCGTGCCTATTCGCTCCAGCGCTTCCTATCACGCATAACCCTCCATCCAATTCTGCGCCGCGCTCCCATCCTGCACACCTTCCTCGAGTCGCCTGACTGGAATGCCACGATGCGGTCTCGTGCCGGTAGGACAAGCATCACGTCTGACCAAGGGAGTGGCGGTGTATTCGATAACTTTGCCGACACCTTCATCAATGCTTTCACAAAAGTCCACAAGCATGACAAGCGATTTATCGAGGTACAGGAGAAGAGCAATAAGCTGGATGAGGATCTTGCCCAGGTCGAAAAGGTTGTGGCCCGTGTTGTGCGCCG